CGTCATGTGACCGCGATAATATCGAGACAGTTTTGCTCTCTCGCTATTGATTATATCATTACATCGCTAGTAATTACTGAAGTGATGATTATTTACGCAGTGTTGTTTGTGTGTCAGGGCGCTGATGGAGTGGAATATCTGCTGATTCCGGTGGATAACGGCACTCTGACAGACTTCCTGGAGAAAAACGATGTGGAGTGAAACCAGGAAAACCTCACTGCTGTCCACGGCTCAGTTAATGTGTTTAGCTGAATAGCACTTAAATGTTTCTGATAAATAACTTGCCAACATTGTATCATAAATGATTTGATACAGGAGGAAACGTGGCAGGTTTGACTGAAGACAGAGACAGCTTGTGTGGTTGCAGGGTTAAAGGTCTCTTAAAACAACAGTTCACCCAAAAATGACACGATGCTGAAAGATTAGGATGAGTATGTTTCTTCATCAGGTTTGTAGAAATGTAGCACTGCATCAGTGTCTCAGCAATGGATGCTCTGCAGTGAATGGGTGCCGTCAGAATGAGAGTCTGATAAAAACATCACAATAATCCACAGCACTCCAGTCCATCAGTGAACATCTGGAGAAGACAAAAGCTGAAACTAATCCAGCATTAAGACATTTTTAACTACGAGTCTATAATCCATAATAACTCTTCCTCCAGAGAAAAAGTGCATCTGCTGTTGTCTCACATCAACATCCAGCCACATATGTGTTTAGAGCTGTTTAAACGCTGCTTGATCTGTGCAGATTTCTCTCCTGATTCACACCAGAACACTTTTTCACTGGAGGAAGAGTTATGGATTATGGACTCTATGTATTTTAGTTAAAAGCATCTTAATGCTGGATGTGTTTCAGCTTTTGTCTTCTCCAGATGTTCACTGATGGACTGGAGTGCTGTGGATTATTGTGATGTTTTTATCAGCTGTTTGGACTCTCATTCTGACGGCACCCATTCACTGCAGAGCATCCATTGCTGAGACACTGATGCAATGCTACATTTCTACAAACCTGATGAAGAAACAAACTCATCCCAATCTCTCAGCATCATGTCATTTTTATGTGAACTGTTCCTTTAAATCCTGTTTCTGCAGCTCACTCGTGTACAGTATTCTGTAAAGTTTTGTAGGATCACGATGTGAACAATAAATATTCTTATGCATCCGAGTTTATTTACATAGAAAAATACATTCTCGTATATTATCTCAACACAACAAAACATTGTTACACTTCATTTAGATCATTACAAAGCAAAACGTCTTAATTTGAACAGTAAAAGGCAACTTGGTAACGATCACGAGCGAGGCGTTTAGACGTGAGCATGACAGATTCAGATTCAATGTTTTAGTGTTAATATGTGAGACGGAGCTCTGGCTGCTGGTTTAAGCGTGTCGTCAGTGTTTTCCGCTGGCGTTTATGAGCAGATGGGAGATTTCTCTCGCTCTCTCCGTCGACTGCGTGATCGGAGTTTGCTCTCAGTGACCGACTGAACGATTTTTAGCTCCTCGACGTCCAGATCCTTCATCAGGAGGAGAACGGCCTCCAGCGCGTGAGTCTATAAACAAGACGGGTTATAAACAGTTATGAACGGAAAGATTTAATGTTTTTTAAAGAAGTCTCTTCTGCTCA